TAAGTGGATGTTGCTCTGATGTACATAAGGTGGTGGGGTGGACCTCTGACTAGGGTAGGTTAGATTTGAATGCAATGATAGGTAWCATTGTATACTAAAAACGATTCTGAGCGGAGATGATTTGTCAGTCTAGGATATATTATATTTAAATATTGTTACACATTCTATTTTGAAACAAATATTTTATTTCTTAATTAGGACACATTTGCATAAGGCATGGTTAATCAATTTTTTGAAATACATTGCATGTAGATGTAGTTATCATAATTCATAATACCTTTTATATTATCATAGATATACATATACCTGATTTCATAAAAATTTAAAACGCTTAAAACATTTTTCCTATAATGACGCTTCAAATTTTCTCTATAGCTATTTGAAGCAATACTTATGTAAAACTTAGTGTTGAATTTTTTAACCTTAGATATAAATACTAACAATTTTATGATTTTTCAACTTAAAACTAATTTGCAAATATTCATGGTTTTGACGAATTTTGTGTTCTTATAATTTTTTAATCACTATAAGAATAACTTATGAGAAACTTTTTATTAAATTTTCAAGTATTTTGATATGGCCAAAAAAATTTTATCGACACTTCAAAAAAAAATTTTCAGAAAAATTGAAAATTTCAGTTGTCTATAAATACCTCAAAAAAAGTCAGAATATTTTGATTAAATCATGTAAAGAAAATGCCAATTTAAATAACTTGTAAAATTTTCAAGTATCTACGACTTATACTTTTTGAATAATAACAAATGTTTAAAATCGTTTGAGGATAAATCGTTATCGTTACGCTATTTTGTAAAAATTTTAAATTCAAACCCACTTAAAATTTTTCCTATGATGATGCTTCGAGTTTTCATTATAGCTACTAGCATTATAGCTTATGGAAAACTTAGTGTTGTATTTTTAATCCTTAGTTATAAGGATTAGTTAATATTTTTTTAGCTACAATAAGAACAACTCATAAGGAACCTTGTATTAAATTTTCAAAGGTTTTTCAGTCATCAAACATTTTTTACCGACACTTCATTAAAAATTCTCATAAGAATTGAAAATTTCAGTGGTCTATAAATATCTCAAAAAAAGTCAAAAATTTTTGAAAATTAAGCTGTATATAGATAACACTACCATAAAAATTTGGTGAAAATTTCAAGTATTTACAGTGAATTAGTTTTTGAATTACAACCATATAAAAAAATCGATTCGGTCGAAAACTGGTTTTTCTGTCATTTATTTTATTTTTCTCGATTTTTTTGAAAACTGTTGGAAATTGTTTACTTATGATCTCTTTAATGCACCAAGGATATTTACTTTTACATCGGAAACCACCCCCAAAGTTTGAAATCGAAGCATTATTTCGACTAGTTATGGTGTAAACACACACACACACAMAAAAAACACATCATGGTAAAATCAATACATTCATCACTTCATTCAGAATTTGATAATTAAAATTTTTAAGTTAATTTGAAAAAAAGAAATTCAAATAAATTTTTTAGATTTTGTTTTATCTCAGAAATTAATCATAGTACCTATCACTGAGCATTGTTGATATAAAATATATCTAAAAACTTATTTTTTTCAGGGAATGAATGTGCTATTTGAATTTTTTATTTTACAAGAGTTAAAAAACAGTAATGAAATGATTGGTAAAAAAAACGATAATGAAAATTTATTCTTTGGCGATGAAAAGTTCGTAAAATTTGTATACATAATTACTTCTAATAATCTATACTAGTTTTTAATCTTTTTATTTTTAATTCATACTTATTGTGTTTGTTTTAAATATTTTTGTTCATCGCGTAATTTTAGAAACAATTCAACCAATATGAAAATGCTAAGTTTAATTTGGCATCAACTGTGGAAAAAYCTAAATCAAACTTTACAATCTTCTACTGAAATTCTTACTGCAAAAGAGTTTCAAATCATAAATACTACTACAAGTCTTGCTCATCATTTAGACATGACTTTAAAAAATGAAAACTATCAATTTTTGCAAAATATTAATACTAATAAATTGTTAAGTAAAATTATGGACTATGTTGTAAACCACGATGATCGTATCACTTTAGAAACATTGGTTTCTACATGTGGCAGTCTAGTGAGCTTAAAAGAAATTTCTTCCATTTTAAATAATGATACTAAAACATTAATTGCTATTCTCTCTCTGCCATGGATGAGTTCTTCTAACAGCATATTCAGAAATTTGGCATTATATAAACATCTAAATGTTATTGTGAGCAAGTATTCTGCTTTACTGAGTAAGAAATTTTGTACAGTACTAATTTAAATAGTTTCAAGTATGAAATGATCTAATTAAATATTTGTTTTCAGATGATAAACGAATAATGCAGAAGTGTGTTACTTATATTAGTCATATACAAATTAATATGTTGCATGATTGGAGGCAAAATATTGTTGTTTCATCACTTAGAAATAAAAATATATGTGAAACATCAATTCTAAATTTGCCATTTTTATTTCATAAGCAAAAAAATCAAAATATTTCTATTTTATTTGAAATAATTGAAGATTTTGATGAGATCACAAATATTGTATTTGTTAAAAACTTAAGGATTCTCATGTGTTCTATGTATGGTAAAACAATTAGTCAATATAATAAAACTTTTTGCCAAGATGAATTATTTTGTATTGATTGTGATCGAAATAAAATTCAGCTGAATTCGCAAATATGTTSAATAGATGATACTTGTAAAAAAACGTTAGATGATTTTTGGAAAATATTACTTTTATCATTTGTTAACAATTCAAATACAATCATCAGATGTGAAGTCATTAGAAACATACCAATGATAATAAACCATTTTTATCCAGATAGTTCTTTTAGAAAACATATGTTGATGTTGATTAATGACAAAGATGAAGAAGTACGCATTCAGAGTTCAAAAATTTTAAACTCCATTATTTTTGAAAAAGATTTATCTGGAAATATTGAAATAGTTGAATCAGTTTTTTATCAAACTTTAAATATACTTTGTTCAACTGTAAATACTAGTTTGAAAGTTGGAAATAATGAGCTTCAATATACTTGCTTAGAAACTATCTTCAATATTGGGCGGTAAGTCTTTCATGCATTGACATTATATTAAAACAATAGTGTTATATACTCATGGTAGCAAGTAGCTAGTTTAGCTTCATGTTAATTTATCTGATTTAGAAATAAGTGTTGTAATTAATTAGTGAGTGGAATGGTTTCTCAGTATCAGTGGCGTAATTACGGGGAGGGGGGGGGTTTGGGTGTCGTATCCCCCCATAACCTTTTTTTTTAAGATTGGTTAACTACATTCACCTATGTACTTCTTTATCTAATAATATTATTATTATTTTTATTTTTTATTTATATATATTGAAATCAAATACCTCGGTGAATTAATATTATTATAAATAGTCCATATTTKATACTTTATAGAAATAATACAAAAAAACAAATCCTTTATGCTAGTTGTACATAAATACTTTGTACCTAGTTCGTTTTAAATGCAGCCACGCAAGTTTATAAGTATCACTATTGCAATATGTTTTGTGTATGATTTGAGTTTGTTTATACATTGTGTAGTGGTACAAAAATAAACCCTGAGCAGTAAAGTATTATTTTATCTTGGATCGACGATGCTCGTCGATTATCAGATTATTTTATCTAGATTAAAGACTATTGTCATATCTATCCTATCTTATCCTATCCTACTATTTTTCCGTAGTCCTATTGAACTAAAAATAACTTATCGATTTCTACAATTAATCGAAATTTATTCCATGTCTCATGTGTACAGGTTAGGTTGGTTATATTTTCAGATTAACAATATGTACAATAATTACATACATTTTTATTTTCAGTGTGCCAATTGACTCAACTATTCTTCCATCAATGGAATTCATGTTTCTATTTTTAATTCATCCAAATTCTTATTATGGAAGTGTCGCAAAATTTTATATGACTGAAATTGCTGCAGCTCATAAAACAAAATTTTTAGTAATATTTGATAGATATGAAACTGAATTAATGCAATACATTGCTGATAATTTAGTTGCATGTTATCATACATACCATCCTAACATTGATGTGAAAAAAACATACAACAAATTAGGGTTCACACATAGAGATATGTATGCGATAAAGCAAATTATTAAATATATATTTCCTTGGTGTATTAAAAAGCCAGGAACAAGGAAAATATTAAGTGAAATTGCTTCATTATCACAAAAAACAGAGAGCACTTTGGTTAAAGAATCATTTAAAGTAAGTAATAAATTTATACAATTTTATATTTTTGTAATAAAATAATAATATTTTTTTTTATTGTTAGTACTGTTTTTCTCATCTATTACTTTCTGAAGATATAGAAATTCGTAAACAAGGCTGTTTACTTTTAGAAGAAATAACAGATACTCCTTTAGTGCATTTGGTCAGACTTTCATTTACTGTAAGAAAAAYTATTTTTATAGATAAAAGATAAAGCAGTTAAAATTTGAACATGTTTAAAAAATCATTTTATTTTTAAAGCCAATTATAGCTGAGATACTAACACATTTCCATTCAAAACATGATCAAGCTACTGAAGCTATTAAAATAATACAAACCTATGATGTTTTATTTAATGTAAAAAATGATACATCAATTGTTAATTTTGTAAGTATAGTTTTGATATAAAATATTGTTTAATTAAATTTAAATTAATATATTGTTCTAAATTACTATATGCTTTATAAAGGACATTATGGTGAAGTAACCGAATGAAATAAAAAGTTTCATTTTGTGAAATCTCACAACTCGAAAAGCTGATAAATGCATATTATATTATTAACATCAATTTTAATTTATAAAATAATGAATTTTGAATGTTTTCTCCACATTACTATACTATTTTACTATTTTAGTTAACCCTACTTAATGGTCATTGTTCTACCTACAGTTTCTAACTGATGCTGTGCTTAGTATATTTTAGTGAAAATTATGACTTAAATTTTTATTTCAGGCAGATTTTCTATCCCCGAGATTTTTGGGCCTTCTAATGATTTTAGAATCAAGATTAGTAAAAAATTCATCTGATTCTATTAAGGAAAACATTTTATTATCATTAGGGGATATTTTCAAACTAATGGGCAGTCGCTTTGTGACACCAGCAAGGTTTAAAATATTGGCTATGTTACGTACAGCCATATCCTTAAAAAACAGAGCTTTCGTGTACCTAGGGTTAAAAGCCTGGGATTCATTTATTCATTGGTATGTTGTCCATTGAAAAATACTTTACACTGTTAAATAAAAATAAAAATATTTTTGTTTTTAGTGTTCATATGGAAGTGTTGGGGCCTATGTTAAGCTCCATATTTGTATCTCTTATGCCACTACTAGATATTTATCCAAACAAAGTCGCCAATATGTTTTATTTTATGGTTAAAGAGAATGAAAAATATCTGGGAAATCATATAGCTGAATTATATTTTTTAGACCCACATCCAGCCAATCCTATAGTTTACAGTATAGTTCAAAAATATTCAAAAAATGTATTGTATGTTTTGATTTTTTCAACTGATTATCAAACTTAGTAACCAGTTAGTGGAGTTTTTYGAATTCAATTTTTTTTTAGCAAACAACCATTGAATAAGTTATTAATATGGTTACTGGATATTGTGGCTCATACAACATTGGAAGTTAAACTTCATGGCTTAAAACGACTACATTCAGAACTTTCAGTTCAGCAGTCTGAAGTAACTAAATTGATATTGTCCAGTGATAATGTTAATTCTGTAATTATTGAGGTAAAAATAATCATGTTGAATAATATTATATGATAATTGATAGACATTTTAATTTATCTAACATATATTTGGTTTGATTAGTTATTAGAAGTTTTAACTGAAAATTTACGACATCATGATAAAAGAGTGAGATTTGCTAGCAGTGAATGTTTGGGAAAAATTGGAGCATTAGATCCCAGTTATTTACCAAATAATATCATTAAAGAAGGTACCTATACTCATTAATTAGACAATAGTTTTAGAAAAGATCTATCGCTAATAAATTATTAGTATACATTTTAATATATAATTTTACTCGTAATTTTATGTTTGTTTCAATATTAAGGCTATTTAAAAAAATGGTTGGTAAAAATTGCTGTTTTTTTTACATAATGCACGGTTATTTTACTTAATTCTATAATTTAACTATTTAACTTAAATTATATGCAAAAATTATAACTTGTGTTATGTTTAAATAAAAATCTATGTGAAAAACTTTGGTGTCATTTAATATGTGTATAATACATTTTTTTTTCTAAGTGTTAAATATTTTTCAGGGCGAAACAAAGAGTTTCCACTAGATATAAAAAGCAATGACTTTGCCATACGCGCAATTACAATATTAGGACAAGGTTTACAATCTGCTAGAAATTCTCGGTACATGGATTCTTTTGCAGTTGCAATACAAGTATGACTTCATATCTACACACATAAGTACATAACTAATAACTTATTTATCATACATTTTTAGAAAATTTTACAAGTTTATAATGTGAAAAAAGACTCAGAAATCTGGTCATCTATCCCAAGCTCATTACACGAAATTATTGATCCACTTTCTTCATCTCGCTACACTTTGGAAACAGAACAATACCAAACAGCAATGCCACATCCAATATTTGGGTATTATATTATTATATTTTTTTTGAAAATCTATTAAATAATAAATATATTTTAATTAAATTTTTAGATCTGGAAAAAGTAGTACATTAAACTTGTGGGCTTATAATTGGGTCAATCGCCTTGTTCCTTTGATTAATGATGAATATGCCAAACGTATTTTTGTATATTGTAAATCAAGCATACGATCAGATACTGAAGCAATGCTTTTATTTTTACCATATGTTTTACGTAAGTTATATTATAATTCATTTTAATGTTATAATTATTCAATTCGTTATACCTTTATTTGTTTAAATATAATTTAAAAATGTAGTCTACGCAATTTTAAGTACAAATGCTGATGGCAATTTAATATACGAAGAACTTTTAGCTGTAATTAGCAGTGATGTAGATGATACAACAACAAATAACACAAATATTCCAGAAACTATTAATGACATTATGGCTGGTAGACAAATCGCTATGGAATATGAAATTACCAATTCTTCAGAACAACAAAATGAAACTACTACTCGTGTAATGTATGTTAAAACAGCCTTCACATTATTTGATTTTTTATTTAAATGGACTCGTGAACAAAAAGCATCAAAGAACAGTATCTGTGAACCAGTTATGAGTAATATAATTTTTTAATATTAGCTTATAGCTATGTATTTATATTAACRAACTTTTAGATTTTTTAACAAGATTTTGTAAATTAAAATTGGCTGAAAAATCACTTGAGTATGATGAATATGCTCGAGCGCTTTTGTATCTTGAAGATTACATTCATGAAAACAAAGAAAGACTTCAAGATCATCTACCAACTCTCTCTGTATGATTAAATTGTATACATTAATGTATGCCTTATTGTTCTTAATAACTTTTATTTTATATCTTATTCAGCAAATTTATTCTAAGCTAAATGATGCTGATAGTCTCAAAGGTATTATTGCTGTTCATGATAATGATCCATCACCTCAAGAAATGATACTTTTACATGAAGTTAATGGACAATTACAAGTAATATCTACATTTTTATAAAACAATATAAACTAAGTTCATCAATCAAAATCTATAAATATGGTTATTTATATTTATTATATAGAATGATATTTTAAGCATGCTCACCTGATTTTAAAATTTAAATCATACATAATTTTAAATTCTTATTTTCGGAATTATTAAGTGTGGAGATATGAACTAACTTTAGATTAGAAAAATTAAGAAAAATACTTAATTAAAATTTAAAATAAAAACTTATTATATTTCGAATCAAATTATTTATATAAAAATCCTACGTCTTAAGCATACTAGGCGTGTCAATAGACTGATTTACTTTGCTGTCGACCGTTGGACTCCGCTGAGTATTACAATCAAAAGGCCTGTGTCAGCAAATTCGAATTCTCAACGCGCAAAAGCGCACAATTGCCTGATATTGTGTCTTAGAATAATATTCTAATTATTTATATTATAAATTATATTCAGGGGTTCGCAACATTCCGCAGACTAAATGAGTCAGGGGATCATATGCTTCACGTGTATCATCCATTTGCTACAAAAATAGAGTTAGGTATAATTTTCGAAGACGTTCAGCCAATGTCTGGATTCGGCCAGTTCTATCTATTACAAAATAAAAATAAAAAATAAAAAATAAAAAAATGATATTATTAAATATGAAATATAAAGTATAATGCAATTATAAATATAATATTGAAAGTAGTAAAAATAATAGGTACTATAAATAAATTTTCTTCTGGAACTTCGGTAGGTAAGTCCGGATTATATAATTTTATAATGYTATTTTTATACTTATTAACCACTACTATGGCTAAAATTATGAAAATGAAAAAAATAATACATACTTTGTTATTACATAAAAATCAATTTGTAAAATGAACACAGACGGAAGTGGTCAAACAATGTCTATGAAAATGTTTTCAAAAGGTCTTGATGAGGTCGTGTGTTATAACTATAGGTTTCTTGATGGATCGATTTACAGAATTATTCTGTTGACAAATCGCGCATGCAAGGACGTAGTCTTTGATCATCTTTCTCGTCCCTTTCTATTTGTTCTATCCTGCGGTATGTGTGTGCTATTTCCTGATGTCCTACGATGGGGTTCTTGTGGAATTCTTGAATATGTGCGTATTGTTCCTCTGTKAGTTCTTCCGGCAAAATAATGGTTACTGTAATTTCAGATTCCCGTAATATATAGTGCAGCATGGTCATAACAGTCTTCCATTTAAGTCCACTCAGGTCCCATCCTTAACGTGGAAAATTAAGTTCAGTTATTCTTTGTTCTATGCTAATTTTCTAGAAATTTTGAAGACTTAAATAATTTTTGGTGCGTCGTCTTTTGCCAGTAATTTTGCTTAGAAATGAGGTAAAATATGGTTCTGTCCTCTATTTCTAAATATGTGRTTTCAATAATGAGCTCCTTTTGGTTCGTAACTGTTAATGTTTCCGTATTTTCTTTTGGTGATWAGTGCTATTCTTTTTGTTATTTTAAAATCTACGGAAATTCAGTATGTAAAATAAATATTAAGCTCACTAGTGACTCGTTCACTATCAAAAAGATCTTCTTGGATTTCGAAAACGTTCGGAGCTCTTTTTTTTTTGATGGGGATCAGCTGATAAAACATTTCATATTCCTTGCATGAAGGGGAAGGACCGTTTGAATTTAGGTCTACAGCTCTGGAGAGTCTGGTATATCTGTAAGCTCGAAAATGTCTGAATATTGGGAAGATTTTTGAGGATTTGAAGTTTTTAGGAATTTTGAAATATCTGGATGTTACGAGGATTTTGGACTATCTAGAGTTTCCGAAGATTTTTGAGGATCTAAAGTTTCTGACGAGTTAGATGATTTAGTCACAACTTTATGATTTCTGATAAGGGCGTCAGCATTAGTATTACTAGACCCTGGCTTATAATGGTAAGTATATTGATATACCTCTAGCCTTAAACGCCAACGTGTAAGTCTAGATCCAGGATGTTTTAGGTTGAATAACCATACTAACGCTCAAAGATCCGTTATTATATTGAATTGTTGACCAAAAAGATAAGCTGAAAACTTTAATTCCCCATTCAATGCTGTATAGTTCATTCTCTTTGGTGTTGTTAGTAACTTTCGCCTTGTTCTGGATGCTTATGCTATTGGTAGGTCTTTACCAATGTATCCGATTGCATAATTACTTGCATCACTAGTGAGATTAAAAGGCTTAGAGAAATCTGGGTATTGAAGATTCAGTGTTGTCAAACATTTTTTAAATGTTTCAAAAGCTTGTTGGCTTAGGTCACTCCACACAAAAGTTAAGTCCGTTTTTAGTAAAGCTGTTAGAGGTTTTGTAATTTTTCCATAATTTTCTATTTGTTGGTACTTGATGATAGCCATGGTTGTCAAGGTTGCTATAGTACATAGATTTTCCCTTTAGTTTTGTAGTTTATTGTGGTTGCTTGTTTGACTGAACGGTTTGTCTAATAATCTTTCGCGTGCAACTGGGGAATCGGAATGTAAAACTTAAAACTCGGTCGTTCGTACCTCATTGCCGATTAGAATTTGGAGATCTTTCAAACCTAAGGTTCGTACAAAATTTGTATGATACCCATAAGTTTGTTAACGATTTTGTTTCAAACTATAACGTCATCCCGTAGTAATGCTGATATTTTGATTAGATTCAGATTATTTCCTGAATCAAGCAGGAATCTTACATCTTGGGCTAACAGAATGGGCTGTTGGCATTTACATATGAGATGCTCTTCTTAGATTTTCTTTTGTTGTTGTTGTCCTCTAGAAACTTCTGTGTTTGAGATTATGGTCTTCGATACTGGTAGCAGCGCGCCTGCCGTCGGCTCCCTTCTATTGAGGGGGTTTTTTTGGTTCTTATTCTCGGGAAATTCTGCGGATCGTTATAAATTGGCACATTTTAATTTTCTGCATACTCCTTCCATGTGTCCTGACTTCTTTTAATACCAATAAGTAATGGTATTTACAGTCGCCCTTTGGGTATTATTAGCTGTGTGTCCAATATTGGTTTTATTTTATTGATTATAACAGCAGTCTCATGCCCAATGTCCCATTTGAAACAAGGAGTATTTGGTTTCTTCGCAATAACTTCCCATTGTTTTATTTTTCAGTATTTTTAAAGAAACATTAAGATTATTCAAGTGATTTCCTAACTATTTATTTCTCTCTTGCTACTTNCTGAGATTGAAATCGTCAATCAGGTCCTCAACTATTCGGCCTCTTTGGTTATGGTCGGCGCTGTGCCATCTTGGCGAGTGGCCATTGGTGTCGGCCCCGATTATAGTCTCCATGCCGCACTCGAGAATTGCCCTAAGTTTCTCGGTGAAGGCGAGAGTATGCACGTTGTATCTAAAGTATGCTGATACTAGGACTATCGGTCTCGGGCCCTGGCCCACCCTTATGGCGGCGATGTGTGTCGAGACATGTTTTGTMAGTTCGATGACCTGGAGATCGTTGTCCATGATTATGATTACGGCGCCTGGATCTTTGGCCGCCACTGTCCTACAGTCTTCGAACCCGTACACCTTCCCTGCATGGGAGACTGGTTCCTGTATAAGGGCTATGCTTATGTTATTTTTGGCACAGTAGTCTCGTAGCTGCATAGAGGCTACTCTCTGGCCGTTWACGTTTATTTGTGCAATTTTGATCGTCATTTTTGGCCGAAGTCCGTGCGCCTAAGTAGGCTTCGGGTTGCCTGACCTTTGGCCTTACAGGCCGCGCTTGACGCCTTATGAGGGCCTTTGCAGTTTACACACTTGATCGATTCTGTTTTGCATGTGCGAGAGTCGTGTGCCCCGGCACACTGCCTGCATGTCGGCGTCGTCTGCTCRCATCTTTTGGCCGTATGGCCAAACTGCTGGCAGTTGTAGCACTGCGGCAACCTACTATGTAGTCTACACCTACATCTTGTCATGCCTATGTAAAGTGACTTATTCTCAATTTTTGCAAGGACGCTTGGTGGGACTTCCATGACCCAATGGACCACGTCACYATCCCGCGGGCCAAGCTTATGGAGCGGGGCTGAATTGCCCATATCCTCGGCTGTGATGCCGAGCTCCGCATTTTGCGCTAGGAGACACTCGGTTAGCTCATCCTTTTCGATGCCACCGTCGACGTCATAGATTATGACTCGGGGCTTTCTCGGGCCTAATTCTCTGAAGTCGCTAATGCCCCTCATCACCTCCAACGTGTTATTGTCGTCCGGGATGATCACCAGGGCCCTTCCGCTTACTAAAGTCTTAGCTTTAGGGTTTACGCACTTCCCCCTAACAGCCTGCCAGACATCGGCTTTCGCTTTCGCCACCGTCGTGTCTTGCGGTATCTCAATTATAAAGCGAGATGTCGCTTTGACCTTACGACTCTTGCTGATTAGGTCCTTCTCCGCCGTCTTCTTCGACTTGGCCGGAGGTGTGCTTACTTGCAATTGCACGGCTGCCCCTGGTGCCTTAGATGTAGTCTTCGTCGCAGCCTTAGCGGCGTACGACTTTTGYGCCGCTTCTGGGCAAGGCGCAACAGTGTTGGTCTTCAACGCCTCCAGCTCGGCTTTGAGGCCGCTGGTTTCGGCTGTTTTATCGTGCAGCTTGCTTATGAAAACTGAGAGGCTCTGAGCGTGGGCGTCCTCCTTACCCTTGAGCTCGCCGTTCAGTCTGCTGTTTTCGTGGGATATTTCCCGTACAAGTGTCCTTAGTCTGTTCAACTTATTCATCATATTTTCTGCGACTTGTACACCAAGTTTCTTTTTCWCCCTTTCTTGTACCACCGTCTGCTCAAGCCAGCCRAGGAGATCGCTGRCTTCTCCCGGCTGCTTGGTCRCAGTTTTCAGTACTTTAGTTGTTTGGCTAACGCTAGGCGAACCCGGGGAGGGTGGGCCGCGCTTTACGCCGCCTGGATTGCCCATGTCACCACTTGTACCTTCTTTTTCTGTCATATCAACGTCTTTATCATCGTCCTGATCCCCGCCTCCCCTTAGTCTAAGGGGGACTGAGTAGCAGTGTCCGTTATCATAATTCTCCAAGTTTTCCATTTCCGAGTTCGATTGCGCATGTTCAGAGCTATTGATGACGACCTGTGTGGCGAGCTCACCCACACCTGCCGGGCCTGAGGTTTCCGWAGCCTCTGTGCCGGTACCATCTGCTGTTTTGAGTTGTGTTCTCATTATGTTAGTATTTGAGGGGGCTGCCCTCGGGTAGCCCTACACCCTCTGACCGCCGGTCGGGCTAGGCCGGTGGTTGCATGTCCGTGCCAGGGGTTAGAAGTCCGGAGTCGGCCTGCTCCGGACAGTTTGAGAGTCGCTTAGCGCCGGACAAGCGTCCGGTCGGGCGGGGTCACCACGACAAGGTGGACTCTCGTCGACCCCGTGATTATAACAGCAGTCTCATGCCCAATGTCCCATTTGAAACAAGGAGTATTTGGTTTCTTCACAATAACTTCCCATTGTTTTATTTTTCAGTATTTTTAAAGAAACATTAAGATTATTCAAGTGATTTCCTAACTATTTATTTCTCTCTTGCTACTTGATAATCTAAGCTTTTTAACTGTTTTCTAATGCTGTTAAAATGTCTGATGATTTTCCGTTTGTTTGTTGTTCTAGTATGAGGTTCTGTAATTGTTTGATTCTTGTGGAATATGCCATGACTTTCACATAATGCACATTCACATTTTTGCTTGCTTAAATAAAGCTCTAGGTACAAATGTGTCATAGTTCTATGAGGTTCTAAGATTGATTTCAAAGTGTCTTTAAGCTCGTTCCATAATTGGATGGAATGAAATTTCATAGTGGCTCTGGCTTTCCCAACGAGCTGAATTATCCTGTTTTGAAGCAATCGTTGTTTGACTTATTCGTTTGCACACAAAATAGCGAATTCACATTGCTCTAAAAACAATTTTAAATCCTCTTGATTCGCCCAATTAATGTGGTAAGTAATAATTTTAGAGTTGCTTCCAATCCAATTGTGTCGAGCGATTTCCTTGAGTGTAATAAAAGTTCTTGTATAATGGTCTGTGGTTGTGTGATATTACTGATATTCATCGCTTCTTTGTTATCAAATTCCTTTGAACGGGCCGCGACCATATCAAGATATCACATACCTAAAATAAAATATTATTGGACCCGTGTGTTCGGTTTATTATATAGCTGCAGCTGTCGACCGGAACTGGTAACGGCAGTGGTCAACAACTGACAATAAATCACTATGCATCTGAATTTTGATAGGGGGGTAGAACCGTTCCGGCTGCTCAGCATACGTGTACAAAATTGAGAATTTTTATTTTGAATAAAGTGTATGCTTAAATTATTTTATAAAAACCTTAATTTGTTTTTAGGATGCAGCTGCTTGCTATGAAAAATTAGCACAAATGTATTCCGACCCTAGTTTAGAATTTCATAAAGGTATGGTTAAATGCTATTTAGGCATTGATCAACCATTCACAGCATTAAAAATAGCTGAAGGCTTAACAAACATCAAGTAATGTATTATTTTTTCAATATTTCAATATTCCATCATTTATCCTTTTGAAAACTGTTGAAATCAAATTTAAGATCAGATTGTCAAAACACATTATTTGGTGAAAAAGCTGAAGCTACATGGAGTCTTATGATGTTTGATAAATTAAAAGAACTTTTGACTGAAAAACCATTAAATGCTAGTGAAAGTTGGGGTGTTTGTATTGGTCAAGCTTTAGTATACTTTTTACATAAAGATAAAAACAGTGTACGTAAAGAAATTTCCTCTATTACAAATCTAGTCACAGAATCTCTTTACATGTCAATGGTTGGATCTGCTGGATACAAGGAGGCATATCCATTTATTGTTAAGTATGTTTTTATTAAATATATTTAGTTACTTTCTATTTTTCATTTTTTTTTGGCCGTAGGTTGCATATTCTGAATGAGATGGAACAAATATTTGACACTATACTAAAAATAGTGGATGGTGATACTTCCGTAAATACTAAATTAAAAGAACTGATTACTAATGAAATGGATGAACGACTACAGTGTTTACAACCTCAAGCATATGTTTTACAGCAAGTTCTATGTATGCGTAGAGTTGTATTGACTGCTGCTCAACATTTAGTTACTGATGAATTAAAGCCTATTATCAACCATCAAATTGGTATAAGCTGGTTGAAAAGTATTAAAGTTGCAAGAAAGTATGCATAATTATTAAGATTTGATAACTATTAATAGAAATTAATCATCAATAATTCATCTTACATAATAAATACTTTTAAATTAAAAATAGTCCAAGTCACAAATGTTCTATACAAATTAATTAGGTACTTAAGGGGACACAACACTGGCATTTTGTTGTTTTTGTTTTACAAGTGCGTAACATAAAAAATTTACACTCAGCCGATCAGTGTAGCTTTTTTAGTTTAAATAATTTGAGTGAATCTGTGGCGCAACCAAGGGGGTGTTTTAGGTGTCTGGACACCCCTTTAACCATATATTCAATAATGGGTATATATTTTTCAATGAATATTGAATAGCAGTCATCTGAAATTTGGGGAACTAATGAATACGCTACTGGTAGACACCCCTTTTGAATAATCCTAGTTGCGCCACTGGAGTGAATCAACTTTTTATAAACCTTGATTGTATGAATATTATCTGTGTTTAAATGTGGGTTTTGTACAATAGTTCAGTTTTTAATTGAATTATGAGAATTTTTAGTTTATGCTATATTATACATATCTGTAATATTTGCTAAAAATTGAACTACCATATAATTAATCCACATACAAACACAGATAATATTCTTACCACTCTTAGTTTTTAAAATAACAAATTACACGTGATCTGCTGGGCGTAAATTTGAAATTTTATTCATTTGTAAGACGGAAACAACATTTGCCAGAACTACATCCTACATATTTTTTGCTTACACAGTATGTCATAAATGTCTTAAGGTTCCCATTTAAGCCTGAATTCTTAGCTTATGATTTCAACTTACCGAGGCCTCTGTTTAGTTTTTCGTAATCAGTAAAACATACAATTCATAGCAATGTATATAACACAATTATGTTATTAATGAATTAYTCCACTGTGACCTTTTCATTTAAACATAAGCATAATTTGTTTCTTAAAAAATATACTCATTGACATTTGTATAGAAATCAGTAATCAGAATCCTAGGCAATCCACATAGATAATTGAAAATATGCTGGTATAGACTAGTTTTTCCTTGACTTATCTTAGGCCACAAATACCTTCTCTTGTCAATTATTTTAAGTTTACATTTGTTTTGCTTGTTTTATTCCTTCATTCTTATACATATTCTTTTATCAAATAGATTGTAATATTGATTGGTTAAATTTAGATCTCTAAATTTTCAACAAGCATATTCAAATATACTAGCAGCTGAAAAGTATAAACCTACAGAGCTTTTTATTGAGAAAGCTAAATTGTTGTGGAAAAAATCTGATCAAGGACAAGCAATCGCTACTTTAAAAAAAGGGATTAATATGCTTTTTCCAAATATGGACATTATTAAAACTTTACCATGTGATGAAAAAATTGAAGAACGAAAAACATGTGCCTCTGTATGTACAATATTTCTTTAATTTGTCATATAATTGATCATGTGTATAGTAATTACGTGTTTGGGTATTTCATTTCTAAAATTATCTCCTAAAATTTGCCATGTTACGCATTTGTAAGACTAGTTTGTATCATATTTAGATTAAAAATGCTTCTGTTTCTTCTTCTTCTACATTAAATATATTAAATGGAGAATTATGCATTTTGGGAACATATGAATTATATTTAATTGAGAATGTTAATGAAGAAAATAGTAAAATTGTCACTAAATTCTGCTTATTGTTAATAATTATTATAAAATATATTAATTTTAATTTATAGGCTTTATTATTATTATCTAAGTATAATGATAAAACTGTAAATGTAGATTTGGAATCTAATTTATCAAATATCGAAAATGCTTATGAAATGTTTGGAATGTGGGAAAAAAGTCTTGTGAGGTTGGCACATTATCAAGATCGTATTCTCAACACTATGACTCCTGCAGTCTATTATACAAAAGGACTGTAAGTACTTAATATTTCTATACTTGTTTTAAAAATAATAATTTACATAAAATTGTTAAAATAAATTAACTAAAAATATTTTAGAAACTTAATTAACAACATAATTCATTGTTATGGTTTGTCGTTACAATATGGTTGTGAGTATATATACCAGTCAATGCCCAAAATGTTGAGTGTTTGGTTGGATTTTGGAAGTGACTTTAATCGAGATTTAAAAAAAAAAAATTGTAAAACTTCACTTTATTTGGTGGAACGAAAAAGAACATTTATAAAGATGACTAAACTCATAGGTAAGAAAATGTAAGTTGAAAAATTTTTATTTTATTAATTTATGTTATTTAAAATAAACATTTTAGAAGGATTTATGTTGCGATTGCCAACATTTATGTTCCTAACTGCTTTTTCTCAAATAACATCTAGAATATGTCATCCGTTAGAAGAATGTTTTAAAACTTTGACTGATATCATAGTTAAGTGCATACTTGACTATCCCAATCATTCTCTATGGATGTTGATGACTCTACATAAAGTATTAATTAATGATATAGTAGAATAATTAATTTTTAAAATTAATTTTTATTTAATTACCAATTGTTTTACAGTCACCATTTTCTGTAAGAGTGAGTAGATTCAATTCCATTCTCAAACATTCGAAATTGGTTAAAGTTAAAACACTGTTGGTCCAATTTATGGAATTATTTGAAAATTTATCAGAATTGTGTAACACAAGTCCTCAAAATGCACCAGTTGGTGTTAAATTTCCTTTACAGAAAATTGCAAAAAATTTACCACGTTTGCTAACAAATGGTTATTTTAGCAACATTATGGTACCTGCCCAAAAGTTTCGCACTTTGATATTACCACGCATTAATTCTAACCGTAATACAAAACATAATCCATTTCCAGAGTAAGATATTCATAATTAATAATTTGCATTTTACATTTTAATACACCAATTATTATTATTTTAATGTAATATTGATATGTTTAGTGATCTTGTTTATATTCATGGAATCAAAGACGAGGTTTATATTTTTAGTTCACTTCAAAAACCAAAACGCATTATAATTTTGGGTTCTGATGGTAATGAATATCCAATGATGTGTAAACCTAAAGTAAATAATTCTAAAAAAAGTATGTTGTATAGGAAATGTTTTATTATAATTATATTTGTTGATAGGATGATATAAGAATTGATTCAAGATTAATGGAGTTTAATAACATTGTTAATATGTATTTAAAAAGAGACCCAGAAGCCAGGGATAGAAATCTTTTCATAAAAACATATGTAAGTATTTAGTTGTTACCTAATATAGAATGTTTTATCTTAAATGAATCATTTACATATTTTTTTTTAAATATTTAATTGTTTAAAATTTACAGAGTGTGGTACCTATGATACTTGACTGTGGTCTCATTGAATTGGTTCAAAATGTAGTTACTTTGCGAAGTGTCATTTTAAGCTGCTATGAGGCAATTGGAATTAAAGTATCAAAAAGCACTTTACAAGGATTGGTTTGCAGTAAGAATATTTTTAATCTCATTTAATTAAGGAAAAATATAGTATTATTAATTTCATTACTATTAATTTAGATATAAAAGATTCTTTGGAAAAAAAAAGATCAATTTTTGTAAATAAAGCAATACCAAATCATCCACCTGTGTTTAGAAATTGGTATCTTAAAGAATTTCCTAGTCCAGGAGAGTGGTTTGTAATCTTATTAAAATTTCATTCAATGTGTTATTAATTTATAATTGATTTATATTTTATTCTAGGTATATAGCTAGAAGTGAGTTTACTAGAACAACAGCAGTCATATCTATTGTTGGTTATATTTTGGGACTTGGTGATCGTCATGGGGAAAATATTTTATTAGATTCAACTAATGGTGGTGTAGTTCATGTTGATTTCAATTGCTTATTCAATCGAGTACATATTAAAAAATATACATTTTTTAACTAACTAAAATATATGTACAATCTTTTACTAGTTTTTATAATTTATAACTCAATTTTAAATATTACAGGGTGAAAAGTTCGAATGGCCAGAACGAGTACCATTTCGTATGACTCATAATATGGTAGATGCAATGGGAACTGGTGGACTTGAAGGAATGTTATCCAGTGCTTGTGAAATAACTAATCGCGTTATGCGATCTCATACTGAACAGTTGGTTAGTGTACTCAAACCATTTTTATACGATCCTTTAGTCATGTGGACTGGCCGTGACACTATAGTTGATGAAAATTCTGAGATGGCAAATGATCAAGTAAATATATTGACTATTATCATTAGTTTTTATAATTTTGTATATAATAAAATCATCAAAATTAATGTAATCACTTAAAAGTAAGTTATAGATCTTATAGGTTTTTATATGCTTATACCCCCACAGATATTTTTCTAGGAGGAGGGTCAAATTAAGATTTGAAAATTCAATACAAGTTTGTTCATGAATTTGTCTACTTTTATCAAATAAAAATTTCTAATGAAAAGACAAATTAAATTTTTATGAGCATTTGAATTACAATACTCGACACTCGTATTGGATATTCACTTAGTTTCTCTTGTACTGATATTCTTGTTCTGCTGTAATTAAAAAATGAATAATTCTAGATATTTGAAATTTTTATGTTCATTTATCAATTCTTATACTTGATAAAATTTTCAAAATATTTCAACAATTTTTAAGTTGAATTTGAAATTATATTTGAAATTTTCAGTTTTTTTAGTTTTTATTCTATTTATGCCAATAATATTTTATTCATTTGGTTAAAAAACTTGAAAATTTAATACAAGATTCCCCAATAAGTTGATATAATATCAGTTGGAAAATATTAAAAATACATACACTTGTTTTTTTCCTTAACCGTTTAAAGTTCAAATTTTGACAAAATGTATTTAATTGAAAATTTGAACAAGGTTCCACTTAAATAGTTAATTCTGCAGTAAAAAATATCTATAAATTATACAAACACAGGTTTTAATTAATAGTTATTTTAAGTTCAAATTTGGATGAAAATACATGTTAAATAAATAAGAATAACAATTTGAGTTATATCGTTCTAATTTAAAAATATTATTTGCGGGTACTTAAAATTTCTATTGTATACTGTATATTCTAATTTTTATAGTTTTATGTTGTTAATGACTTATATTAATACTTAATAATAAATTATATATTCTATGAATGACTGAGTGAGTCGGGTACATAATGAATCTAATTTGATTAATTGGAATTTATTTTATAGATATCTACATTTTTTTTGTTTTGAAAAATAACAATATTATTAATAATTAATATTATAGTATAAAATATCCTAGACTGGCAAACCRTCTCCGCTGAGAATCGTTTTGTGTATAATATATTATCATCGAATTCAAATTTAATACCATCCATTATAGTTACCAAATTTATATAATGGCGTTGAAATGTTTTGAAATTAAATCGGTTTTAAGTTCTTAAACTACATAGTGCGAGCGTTTTAACGCCTTCATATAAATGTAGTAAGTTGTAAAAACTGTTTAAAAAATGTAAACCGTTTTAAAAGTTAATGTGCTTGCACTTTATAGTTTAAGAATTTAAAACCTATTTAATTTCAAATTGTTTTAATATCATATAACTTTGTAAGCTACTGTACAGCAGACTGACATCCGCTTACTCGTTTTTTTTTAAATTGTTTACTAATATAATAAAATAAAATAAATTTTTTCTTTTAAGTTCCAATGAATTTATATTCTATTTTTATTATTTTATACTTTAGTTTCATCTTATAATAATTTGTAAGTATGTTAATTAAAAAAAAAATAAAAATCATATTTAAACTTTTTTTGAACCAATAAATCTGGATCCTACTTTTAAGGAATAATAATTTATGTATTTATTATTTAATGTTACTAAATAAATATGTATCTCCTTAGGCTAAAGAACATTTGAATAATATTGAAATGCGTCTTCAAGGATATGTAAGAGCTAATTTAAAAAATTCTTCCATGCCACTTTCAGTTGCAGGACAAACACGTAAGCTTATCGAAGAAGCAATTTCAGTAGATAATTTATGTCAAATGTATATAGGTTGGAGTGCATTTCTGTGATATTAATGATAGTATTAAGAGTTGGCTTATCATTAATTTATTATAAAAGATTTAAACTTTCTAGAGGTATTTTAAATCAAATTCGCGCATTGTCAATTGTATTTTTTTTATTTATTAAGTGATTAATGTTATGATTGCATAGGCATATCTATAAGAATTTTTTGTATTATTTTTTATTTTTAATAAATGTTTCTAATAACTGTTATTTGTTTATATTTTGAACATATTTCAGCACTAACTTTACTTACATCAAATTTTTATATTGCCCTTTATACTGTATTATAGTGCCCGTGTCCTGTATTTAATAATTGTTTTGTGTAAATGTTGCGCCGCGACCGATCCTATAGGGTCAGCGGTTGTTGGTTGCGACTCACATAATTTAGGAACAAAAGGTTACTCACCGGTTGATATAGAGTATACACAAACTTAAAGCATGCGTATAAATTTATAATGAATAATAATAATTGGAACCATAGGCTCAAATTGGACAACTGATTTTGGTGGACTAAATTTATAAAATCAACACAGACGGCGATTACACAAAATATAAAATTTGCTATAAATTAGCAAATTTATTTAATATGTTTTCATTAGGTACTACAAGGAATGTCTTTTTATACATCTAATATAGAAACATTTGAAAATATATCTTGATATAAAGATGTGCGTAACCAATTTTTTATCTTCCTCTTAGCTAAAAAAGACCTTTCACATGTACTTGAAGAAATCCGCATAGTTAAGTACAATGAAGATAAAAAAGCAAAATTACGGAAAAATTAAATTAAAAATAAATATGAATACATCTATATTTAATAAATACGAGTATAAATGGTGAACACGTGCACCCAAGCACGTTGAAAATCTAATCTCTTATATGTATTAAACTGTGTGTTAATTGCTGACCCGGCAGATGTTGTCCTGTTTTAATTATGAATATTGAATTCGAATTGGTATAATTAATGAAAAAAATATTGTAAAAAAATGTTAATTATTCTAATGCATTATGATATACAACGTTCTTTGTTTTTTTTCTTGTGCGTATAATAATATAAGCGTATACAAGACGTATATTCGTACTGCGGCAAATTTCAGGGGAGAGAGTGCCGACAGACTACCAACGACTTCTTTGTACGATCGGCGAGTGTGAATTAATTATGCTCGTCGATCATATTTATTAAATAATGAATTTGTTCTAGAATATTCGATAGACTTCCTATTAAATCACACGATATCTACGGATATTCTCAGTAAAAAAAAAAAACACTTAGATAATTATAATAAAATGTTTGTCATTTATACTGATACATAATAAGGTCTATGGTTATACTTATAACTATAAAAAAAATTAAAAATCCACATAATTGTATACTTGTTGTATAAATGAATAATATAATATAACYTTTATTTTGTATACTTTTTAACTTAATTCAATATTTATTATTATAAAATAATAATTGACAATTGTTGACGCATACTTGTATACAATAATTTTAGATGTCATTTTTATTATTATTATTACTTTTATCTTTATTATATTGTATTATAGGTATCTTATTCTTGTCGATATCTGGTCGATCGATATCATTGCTCAATTATATTTTAGTGTATTTCCACAGACTATATGAAAACAGATAGCTCACTCGGCCGAAAACAATGGGGGAAAAAAATAAGATTCTCTGATTGGGTGTGACCAAATCAGTGTAGCTGCATGCATTTAACTAAATTATTGTTCAGATGTTATACAATATTATTGCATATTTGTATGTACCATTTAATACCATTTACTATTTATTAATTAGTATTATTTACCATTTCAAAATCTATTTCCATTTAAATATTCAATAAAGATCGTAAATCGTAATTAGCATGCTAAGATCGATCTATTTTATTATGATAAATGATTAATTGATCAGTAAGTTAATGACATAAATCTGTTAAAGGCAATAATAAATATTATTTTATTAGTTAACACAAGCCTTTCACAATGATGATGATGAAGTCATACATAACATAATAAAAATATTAATTTCAATATTTGGACGTTATCAACAAGGAACAACAAAGGTAGTTACATATAAAAACATAAAAATCACATTAATAGGTAGGTAATCTAGATAAATCTATTATAGGTGAGAATTCTAAATGATTACAAAGTACATTATTTTCTTTATAACTTAACTATGTTTTATTTACAAAATTAATATTATTAACACATAATATTATTATACTAGTCATAAAATACATAATTAATATATAATTTATTTACATATATTTAAACATAAATGGAACAAATGTAGTACTATACAATTCAATTAGTAATTAGCTCATATTAAAAAAAAGGTATTTATTAAACTATAATACATCAAAATAATTAAAATATTAGTATAGTTACAAAAATTTGTTTTACAAATGCTGTAAAATTTCTAATTTTCGGTTTTTAATTTTTTTTTCAGATACTAAATGTCTATTTAAAAATATAATTGAAGCATAAATTCTAAAACGCAAAAAAAATTGAGTAGGTAATGTTTGTCAAAGTTGGGACATGGATGTTCATAATCAATATTGAGCATTATCATTTTAAGTTTGTTAGCCTAATTCTACTTCAACAGCCACAGTAGGAAAAATATTAATTTTGTTTTTCTTTTAAATTCATTTGGGACTTTACAATAGTACATAATCCAGGTGATAAATATTTTTCACTTAATCTTAAAAAATGTTCAACTGTATCATAATTAGATAATTGTTGACTTAAACTTACGATATTCTTCTTTAAATTTTTTATTTCTTGTTTTCCAGATTTAATCTCCATAGCCAGTTTTAGTTTCCTTGGTGTATTTGCCGATAAATATCCAGGAGTTTGATTTGAAGAATCAGAAGTTGTTAATGAGCTACAAGATTCATTTGAAGCACCAGAAGTATTCATAAATCGACTTACACGACTTCTTAATTCTTCAGTGTCTGGAATTGAAGTACTACAACTACTCTGACATTCATCAAAATCCTGTGAATCTTCATGGGTTTTCAACTGTAGTTTAGCCAATTTTGATCTTTCAAACATTATTTCATCTAAAAAAATAATTAAAATTTAATTATCTAACCAAGAATTAGTTTGTTAATATCAAAATTAGTTTTTGAAATTATTTTTAAACATGTTTTAATAATTTTATTATTTACTTACCATTAAATACTGATGGGATAGCATTAAAAACTTGTTTTTTGTTGTGGAGTTTAAAAACATTGAGTCTGCAAAGTGATCACCACAAGTTGTAACTATTTTAGATTCTGAACGAAGTGATGAATGTATTGATTTTTCAATGATGTGTGTTTTTTTTTTTTTTTATGTTTGTTATTGTGTCTGTGTACAGCATAACTAGTCGAAATAATGCTTCAATTTCAAAGTTTGGGGGTGGTTTCCGATGTAAAAGTGAATATCCTTGGTGCATTATAGAGGTCAAAAGTAAACATTTTCCAACAGTTTTCAAAAAAATCGTGAAAAACAAAAAAAAAAT